TGCGTGAGTGATACACACCTGATGATGGCCATTTAGGGCCGAAACATGTAGTGTGGAGGAGGAAAAAGAAGTAAAAACTACAATAAAATTGTTGCACTTAAGACGGTATTTGTCCATATATATTGTGTGAGTGTAACAGGATGCTGAAATATAATATTGCCAAATCTCATATCTTCTCATATTTTCTCTAGCTTAGGTCGTTTATCCAAGGAATCCGTCCAGGTCCGAGGCTTTGTGTTCATTTTCGTAACATAATTTCCTATACAGCGGTAAACCCCTTCAGTTTTTGTAGTCACTGCTGTGAGAGTCACGAATTCAGCATAAAATAATACATTTTAACTTGGAGGGACAGCCTTGAGGATGCAACTTCTCATCATGCTCGTTGCTTGTTGCTGTGCTACTTGTAATTTTTTTTAATACATGATACTTCTACGACATGATCCGAGCTTGTAAGGTCATCATCAGATAAAAACTTTTATGTAATTGCTGCACTGTATCGCCTTTTCTTGTTCATTGTTTGGTTGAAACTAGTTCCAGTTATTGTTGTTGCTGAATAATTGAACAGTAAGTTCAATTAATAACTGGGTCCACTTGGCACGGCGGCCAATGATTGGCCTATTGTAGCCTGCCCCGGGTGATTATGATGATGGAGAATTTGGTGGAATGAAAATTGGCAGGGAAACAGAAGTACTCGGAGAATACCTGCCCCAGTGCCACTTTTTCCACCACAAATCCCACTTGACCTTCCCCGGGATGGAACCCGGGCCGCCGCGGTGGGAAGCCAGGGACTAACCGCTTGAGCTATGGCGCGGTCTGTGATGGGGGGCAACTGGGTGCTGGAACCTTTCCTCAGCATCTGGGTCGTGCTGGTTTTTGACCTTCCTTTTATCGTGTGAAAGCTATTCTAGTTATTCTGGATATCACTCTCAGGGCTTTTATAGGTGAAACTGGATATTCAAATTTTATGTTGTATATATACATATATATAATATAATATAATATAATTCATCATGCTGGTGTTATTATTTTGCTGTAGCGGTTATATCTGCACAATAATTGGAACTAGTTTCCACCAAGTTTGAATTTAGCGATTACGGGGTCTAGTTTTAACCAAGTTTTAGAACAACGAAACAGAAAAAGCAGTACAGTGAAGCAAGCACTTAATTATTATCTACCTGATAATGACTTTACGATGTCAAACCATGTCACAGAAGTAATATGTATTAAGAGAAAGCGACAAAGTAGCACATCAGTTTTGCATGTGCAGGACAAGAAGTTGCATCTTCAGAACTGGCCTTGCAAATTAAAGCATTTAGATTCCTGTCGATTTGAAACTGTTTTATCTTTGTGACGAAAATATGCAGCGTTGTTTAATTATGTGTGCATGTAACGTTCCGCTGTGAAGGTCTGGAGCCCAGAATGTGTTTCCCTCTGCGGGCATCATTTATCACCGCCTTGCCCGTCTGTTCCAGGTGTATGTGGCAGAGGCTGACGGGATACCGGAGTATGGATCTGCAGCGTCCCTCGGGAAACGACTGGTGGCCGTCAAATTCCTCCTACACGATGCCTGCGAAAGAGAAAAGTAAGAACCCAGAGCCTATCGTGACCTTAGAAAAGCTTGTCTGAATTAAGGCCGTCGTGCAGTGCCTGTATCCCTTTTTCTTAAGTTCGGAGGTCATGCCATTGATCACACATCCTCATACCGTTAAAACTGGGCCAGAATATGCTGAGATATTTTGAAGATTATAATGAATATTTATTTTTCCTAAAAGCAAGTAAAAAATATCTTCACAAGTTGAGTGTACTTCCGGAGGAATTGTCCAGTGTCCGGCTTTTGTAAACATTGTGGTGAATCGTAAAATCAAGAGAAATCTTCAACATTTCTAGGAATATTCTGTGCCAGAGACTTAGTTCATTAGATAGCGGCCTCCGTAGTTTAGGGGTAATGTTCCCACCTCATGACTCAAGGTACGCGGGTTCAAACCCGGCGGAGGTCGTGGAATTCTTAAGGGCGGAAAAATTCAGGCAACAAGTCCTCCGGGAGGGACTTTAAGCAGTGGGTAAAAGATCCTCATGTCTCTAGGAGACCTCTGAGCAAAATTAGGCAAAAAAGTTTCCCGGCCAAGTAGTTTCCAATGCTTCCGGTAGATGGGGGAAGTATCGGGTACCGAGGGCCGACCTCGTTGGCTGAACGGGGCTGATAGCAAGCACTAGTACCGGTATGATATGGCGACTGGTAGAATATCAAAGGGGGACATACGATAGACTATTAGTCACGGTACATGGGAAAACCCACCCCCTCCAATAATAATAATAAATAGTTCATTAGATAGGTATGGGGCCCTGCAGAAGGATACCGACGTTTCGGAAGAACATGCTGCCTCCACCTTAAATTGGAGGTAGAATTAACCAGTATCACTGGCCATTCCGTATGTTAACAAAACGTCAATGGTCTTAGATACATCTTAAAAATTTTTTGGTATTACATTTTTACTTTATGTAACTGAAGAATGTTCTCATTTTGCTTAAAAATAATATCGAACTGAATAAACCTGCATGTTACAATTGAATCATTGAAATTAGTTCTAGTGAATTTAGAAGTATTCAAGTAAACTTTACTATATTTGTAAACAAGGAAGACGTTACTTTGAGATTAATATTTCTCCTATCCACATTGTCCAGACCGGTCCTGGGGCCCACCCAGCCTCCTACCCAATGGGAACGTGGGGGTCTTCTCCCCGGGGTAATGCGGAAATGGCGTCAAGCTGGCCACTCATCTCAAAGTAATGCTGAGGTCAAGAATATATGGACCCATAGCTCCATTGTCCATACGTCATCATGGAGTAATGCTTGATTAGTTAAGCACAGGGACAACTTTTAATAGAAATAGTGTTTTAAATTAGGATTTGAGGTTTTCATTGCGATGACTGTGGATGATATAGTCGTCTGGGTTGTGATGACGTGTAATGTGGAAAGCATCCGACGTTTCGGAGAAACGTATTGCACCCATCTTCAGGTTCGAAGAGTAATCCAAGCAAGAACCAATGGAAGTAGACGACAAATAGTTAGCTGTATGTTTTTCTCTGAACTGGAAGGTGTTACAATTCAAAAGCCCGTACTTCTTAGGATTAAAAATTTGTCTGACACAAACTTGTATGTATATAGTAGTGAGGCCTCACAATCCATATCTTTGAGAATTTGTGGACCAGCTTAGCTCCTTTTAGCTTCTCAAGAAAGTCTCTGCCACTTTGAATTGATTACTTAATGTTAAAATGACTATCAGGCAGAAAAATATCCATGTAATTTGGAATATAATTACGTTCAATACAGTACGGTATACAGATGGAAGAACGTAATAGCATTGCGGGTTAAGGTATTATGCTACAATACCGGAAGGTCGTGGGTTCGATTCCCAATGCGGTCATTGGATCTTTCAGCTGACTCAGTTCTTCCAGCCGCACTCTGGACCTGGGGTCGACTCAGCCTCTAACAGAAATGAGTACCAGAAATCTTCCTGGGGGGTGAAGAGCGGCCGGCCGGCGCTTAAGGCTGACGTCACCGCCATCTGTTAGCCGATTGTATAGACAGTGTGGGAGCCTCGACGTCTCACAACCCTATGGGCCTCCTCGGCCTGTTACAGGGATAGCATTTTTTAACAGTATACAAATACCCTCTAAGAAGTTTAATTTGTAATGTGCATATTCAAATTATGGGAATTATAGTATGCTCAGGGCCGCTTTATTATTCTTTGTGATTACTAAACAATGAAATAAGAACTTACGTAATTAGTCGGAAGGTATTCTTGCTTTCAATTGATTCACATTATTTCCATTGTAAGTAAGGTGAACTGTGGCTGAGAACACCTGCTGTTTCACGTGGTGTGCGATTGCAGAACTGGATACTCACGCAAAATGAAACAATTTCGGAACATATGGCAACCGCTGATCCGTTTCACGGTGCACGTGATTTAAAATTACAGATTCTCTTCCCTTTAGTGTGTGAATACTTAAAATTGGAGATATTATGTGATAGAAGTACTCATACAAAACATGAGAACATATGCCACAAACCTTTTAATTATATCACAGCTGGCTATAGTGGTTCCATATCAATCTGAAGCAAGCCTGTAAGCCTACTTTACTGCTGTAATTTTCCGTTTCTGTACTTCAGTAAAGCAAGTAAGTAAGTAAATTAAACCGCGGCGGCCTGGGTTCGATCCCGGGTCTGGTCAAGTTGGATTTGTGGTGGACAAAATGGCGCTGGGGCAGGTTTTCTCCGAGTTGCATCGGTTTTCTCTGCCAATCTTCTTTCCACAAATTTCTCCACAATCACCCTCACCTATCATCTGGGGCTGTAGAGTAGGCCATAAGTGGCCGCAGTACAAGGGACTTAGTCCCATACCACTAGCAATAAAAAAAGAGTAAAGTAAAGGTATCGCTGTAAGAGGCTATGGAGGCCCGCGACCTTCCGGCTTGTAGCATAGTGCCTCAACCAACTACGCTATCGCGTGCCCCTTCTGTACTTCAGTGCCTTTGAATTTTATAATATGTAAGCATTTGAGACCATTAAGTATACAGAATCTGATATACTTGAAAGACTTGAAGTCTTCTTAGCGATATCTCCCCGTGACGCTGTGTATTAGATATTTAACGACGTTTCGGAGGAGCTGAAGGTCGGAGCACTGTGTTTCTTCGAAACTCCTGTAAATACCTAACATACTTCGTATTGTTTTCCGTCTCAACACAACAGCTATCAAAATCTCATTCATATTTTCTGTGTATAATGAGTTTGTTAGTCTAAATGGCATGGCAGTGTGCCGCATGTTTCGGCTTATAAAGCCATTATCAGGCACTACACATTAACAGATATTTTCACACTATTGAATTGAGCTATATACGAATTCATATATTACAATATAATAACTATTATCAATGTATCTTACTTTGCACACAGGTACTGCATTCAACATTTCGTCTGAATTAATTCCAGTCTTATAAACGTATTAAAACTGCAATAAAAGTTTTACATTAAATGGATACCTAGAGATGTACGTAAATGTATTTATAATAAAATATAATAAATTTTAAGAAATAAAATACATTGAGAGAATAAATTAAATTGTTGTTCGTTATGTTCATGTTATTTGTCGTATTTATGTTGGTGTCTATTAGCTCAATTATAGCGTTATAATATGTAGTTATCCACAGGTGTTGTTTTGATTGTGGTCGGGCGTGTTTTCTCTATACTCCAATTTGATTTCCTTAAGGATCGGTTGCACTGTACGGAATCGATTGTTGCGATGTTGTATACTGTTTTATTCTTTGTTTTCCATGACCTGGTTTTCTTTACTTTATGGGTTTATCTACCTTTCGCGTTTCTACGCCTGGCTTCGTTGTGTGTTAGGTGTTAGTTTGTAACTGAGCTTTGGATAGTTGTTGTGTTTAGACGGAAAACAGAATGCATTCATTAAAGAATCTAACATACTGCATGGTGTGACATTCCAGAAAATAGGTACATCTTTTATAATTTAATTTCGTATTACATTCGAATATTAAGGAGTTGGGTATTTTTATTTTGTGCCCTGACACAAAACTAAGATGTCACCTCTTTCGTCCGTCATGCTGCATGGTCATTTTGTTTTGAGACTGATGGAATTTATCCTCCTGACAGTGTAATTCTTATTTCATTAGGCGTTTATTATCGAAAAATTACCTGATGAATTACGAAAGACGGATTTTAGGAACTTAACAAAATTGTGGTGATTTAGCACAAGGTGAACTACCAAAAGCTTTCAGAAGTGTGAGGATGGAAAGCAGGTTGGTGATTGATACATGTTAATGATTACGGCAGCGTAGTTGATTGAGACTATGCTACAAACCAGAATGTCGCGGGTTTGTATTCAAAGGAGGCCATTGGATTTTTCAATTGACCAATTCCTTCCAGCCGCACTGTGGCCCTGGGTTCGACTCGGCCTCTAACAGAAATGGGTACCACGAACCTTCATGGGAGCAAGCGCGTAAGGCTGATTTCACCACCATCTGTGAGCCGATTGTCTATGGGAGCCTCGACCTCTCAAAACCCTATGGGCCTATTACAGGGGCAGCTTTACTTTACCTTACCTTTTAGTGATTACTGTCGTCCAAAATGCGTTCAAGAAATAAAGTTCCAAAATAAGACTTAATAGCAATTCCAATATCTGAGTATGCTTGTCTTCCATTCAACATTCTTTCAAAATCCATTGATAAATTTTGGAGGGGATAAAGGCATATACAGTCAAATATAGGCATGTTTTGATAGGAGTTATAAGAAAAAATGTTATTGTTAAGCGTCTCATCACAAAAATGCAGGGGAAATCTTAATAATGAATCTGTGTAAATGTTGTGAACTTCATATATCAGGAGTAACATTGATTGATTGATTGATCAGTAATCTGTCAGACGACAGGTCCACAGTCTCTTCCAAAACAGTTCCTCCACTTAATGTGATCTTCTGTTTTTGGAAGGAGACTATCCAGGAAAAGTGATAATGTGGTAGTTTTTCCATTTGCTTTCCACATCGCAGTACAACAGCCGTTCAAACCAC